AGCTGTTTTTCCCTGTTTTCAGTCTTAATGCTTGCTAAGCTTTATTTAGCATACATAAATGAGAATTAAATCAATATTCTCATCTACAGTGACTCTTGGCACAAAGCCAATATGCTTGTTTCACAAAATGTATATTAAATTCTCTAAATAATCTTGGCCTATTGAATATTACACCATTAGAGTTAATCCCTCATCCAGAGCCATCTATGAGTAATATGACTTTCACACCAAGGGAAGGTGATCCTTTGTTTCTAAAAGCACATCTTATATGTTGTTTGAATGACACATTAAAAATGTTAATGTGCCGATGTACAGTATGCTGCTTCTTCTGTAGTCCCTGTCTGCACTATGCAGATAACAAAACATATTATGATGGATTCAAGCAAACCTTTTTACTTAATTTGCATACAACTGTCCTTATTTGGACACAGCTCATGATTCAATGTGTTCACCACTGTCTTAATAATACAAAAGAAGAAGAGGAGGAGGAGGAGGAGATCTGGCTACGTAAACGGGTCTATGCTGCATCAGTAGGACTGTCCGTTGCCTACACAGTGAAGTGCTCTAACATTAGCCTCTGTCTGAGCAGCATCACACTGGTGAGTGAGTCACAACAGAGGGAGGATAGGTGGCTATAATAAACACGTTAATAAGAAACACACTGTCATAATGAGATTGGTAAAAAAGGTTCAGTAAAAGGTTCATTTTTGGAAAGAAAATGCTCTGAGCAGATTCATGCTTCCTCTTTAGACAAGTTAAGAGGATAGTCTTTAAAAGTGCATGATGTGGCTTTAAAAAAGAAATGTTTACGTTGCTTGACAACTTCTGATGTAACTACATTAAAGACAGTATAAGAAGTGAATGTATTTACGGTGACATATCAATTGTTGCATGGACAACAGTTTTGAACCTCACATTTTGCTCTTTGGTTTCTGGATGTTCCCATGTATTGGTCGCCAGAGGTGATTCAAGAGAGAGGAGCAATGTACTACCAATGCAGAAAAATACATTTTAGGCAAATAAACTGTAAATAAATGTCCATGAACTGAAAATTCACAGTGAAAGAAAACACCTAACTGGACAATCACATGGTCAAACCGCCCTAAAGCATAAGCTGCCCTAACGCTTATTGCACAGAAATACTCAAATGACCAAATAACACTGAAAAACTTGAACAAACTGATCAACCTCAATTTCTATTCAGTTTGAGGCCGAAATTCCAACGACCACCACAGGCCGATAAGAATCTGCATCAATAGGACAATAATTTACAAAAGGAACTTCATGCTGTATTAAAGAAGACTTGTTACTAGTGATTTAGAAGATGGGTCAACTTCTCATTGACTTCTTTTTGGAACCAGTGGTCCTTCTGGCTATTTAAAATAAATCAGATTTAGGGCACATCCATCACTTTTCAGATCTGGACAAGCATTTTATGTGAATGTAAATTAGTCTGATAATTAAATGTACATTGAGTAACTGCTTTGAAATGAAGATGTGAATGATCTGTTCCCGCTGTCTGCCCCGGCGCCGAATCCAAACATGATGAACCCAGATGAACTTGTTGTGACTCCTCCCTTATTGCCCAGCCAGGCACACAACTCTGTCTCCGCTCTCTCTTCCTGCCCTGACCTCAGTCTAAATTAATATAACCTTTCCATTTGTGCATTTATGCACACAATCTGTCCAGGCCCGGGGCAAGGTGTCACATCAATACTTCCTGCAGCTTCACTCCAGCTAGACACAGATTGGTGAGATAATAAACACAGCAGCACAGGGAAGTTCTCTTGGTCAGAATCAATTCAATCAAGTTGCAATGATTGGAAATAGTTTGCCGCAATATTTCATTGGGAACAGGTTTGTTTGTTTTTAACGTTCTAAGCTGCTATGTAAGCATCAAAGTGACGATTCAGCATCTCTGGCCAAGGGGAAGTTGGAGAACAGCCATATATTAGAAGAGAGGGACTGGGATAGAGAAAATGAAAGCATGGTGAGAATTGATTTTTCCATACTGGAGAACAAACTGGACACACACAAAACACACACACACACACACACACACACACACACACACACACACACACACACACACACTGTACTATAGCCTCACCTATTGATCCACACTGCCAATAGTCATTTGCCATCAGGGATTTGTAACAATCATTATAAACTGACCCGGCTGGAGGACAGCGGCGTTTTCCTGCTTTATTCCATTCAGGATCCGCACAACAAACACAACAAATCAGCTCGGGCAAGAAATAAATACTCTCATCTTTTCAAATTATTATTAGATTAATTGGTTCGACACAGAAGTGGAAGTTTTGTAGACAATCCCGAAGATAACAAGCAATACGCAGACTTAAAATCGCAGCCACTTGCTAATCTAATCAGAATGAACAATGTGAGCTGAAGGAAAGCACAGCAATGACTAACTGTCTATCTTGTCAGAATAGAAATGTGTCAAATCATAATCATCACATCCATTTGTTACATCAACACCTGACAGGGAAGCAGGGCATTATGCAATCCAGACTACTAAAATAAGAATGATGGAGCTTGGTGCTCAACCCATGTCTTAGTCACAAGCTGGCCAGGTTGCTATTCATAATGAGCGGCTCGCTGGTCTTTTTCAACAGGGAAGCATCTAGCTTATCTTGCTTATATTAATCCTCCTGATTATGCAGTTTGTATTCATTCCTTTAAGAAAAAAAATGTTAAGCTTCTTTCCAAAACAATGGATTTACTCCAGGTTTACTCAAAGAGACAAAGAATCCCGGTTATGTTCTGAATCTTTAAAGTGCACAATCAAAATCAGACAGTAATTGCTTTAATAATTCAAAAGGCCTCTATTTTAACTGTTTAACTGATTAATACATAATTACATTGATTATAATAAGCACAGACTAATTTAAAATAAAAATGTGTTTGAGATACAGTATTTGGAGGGCGTATATTTTAAAGGATGTAATATGTTTTCACAGATAGATCTATGCAATGCACACTGATATTGACTTTTGCCCCTACACCCAGTGTACTAAAATCAAAATAATGTTAAATCCAATAATGCAGTATTTATGAGCATGCATGTGAACATAGCTGGAAATAATATTCTTTGGGCTATTATGCCTAATCATTTTCATTTGTCAGGTGATTCATTCCAAAATAATTATTCAAATATACTGGAAATTTGTAAATATGGTTATCGAGATACAAAACAAACTACCTAATATCAGAATATTAGATTGTATCCATAACGCCCAGCTCTATTCCATACGATGACTTCTTGGAAGTTGTGATAACAATAAATATAATAACTAAGAAGCATTATCCTATAATATCAATGCATATCCAAAGACAAAGTATGGGTAAAGTTGACTGGAGGGGAAACAGCTCAAAGACACTGTCACAGGAAATGTGTTCCTGGATGACTGATCTTACATAATGTCTTACTTTTGGCCTTTTTTAAATAAAAAACAGCTCCAAATAGAAGATGTTGTTTCTTACACCTCATCTTGAAAGGCCAAGCATGTCATATTCATCTCTTCCTCAGTGACAACTGCTGAAGTGCCCTTGAGCTAAGCACTGACCCCACAGCCACCCCGCTGTAATCACTCAGCACAGCCGTCATTGCAAGGCTGTGGTCGAACTGCGTCAAGGTGTGAGCGCCTAAACCTGCATCTCTCTGCAAATGTCCCCAAGGCTGCTCCCCAACAACTACATCACCTCAACAGCATTTTGGCTTTTTCATCAGAGCCAGGCCCTTGATGTACAAGGCGCAATACTGTTCAATTTTCCTATCTTCTCTGCCCTTTTTCTCACCTTAATAGGTTACACAGCAGTCTCTACGGCAGCTGACAGAGTTAGGAGAGCCGCAGCTGATCCGTAAGCGAAAAAGTGCGGAGTGCAGTTGGTGGGAAGAAGGATAACAAATTAATTCTCCAGGCAGAGCTCGGTGCCCTACATGGCAGAGAAGTGACTGGTAGACCAATTATGAAGCCATCTCACACTCCACAGCCCTTCCTATCGAATCCATCACGTTTGTAGAGATGACTACATGGATTACAGCATGTTACAGTTGATGCAGTAGGCTATTTATACATCCAAAGCTGTGGTAGGAAGAATTTACTCCACTGTGCTGCTAGGTTAACCTTTTGTGATAATTTAAATCATTATCAAAAAGTTGATTTGGACCCAGATAACCTTAATTTGCTTCAAATCTGCAATATACTTTAATTATGGCGATAAATGACGTTTAGGAAGGCTATTTTTACCTTTCAAATATTCGTCAAAAGCTTTATTATCAAGCTGCAAATGTGAAGCTTACTTTGAGGTTATTTAAGTTATAATTATTTTTTTAATCTAACAATTTGCATGATGGAGCCATAGCTACCAGCACAGTACACTTTGTGATTGGCAACCATTATCTGAAGTCACAGCCAGATCCTACAACAACCAGTGTGTTTGTTTTTCCCCACAGTAACCTAAAGTGCTGCTCATCAGCATCTCTGGAATTATTGAATTAATCAGTTTACAAAGTCACCGTGTTTGGCCAATTACAGGCCATCATGCTCCATCAGCCAGCTGGTGAGTTTGGATGGCATGCATGACTGAGGAGTTTGTGCATTAGAGCTAGGCGCTTGGCAGGTGTCTGATATATTTTGTTTTTACAAAGCAATGCATTTTATTCCAACACCATTATTTCAGCTCATAAAAATCTGTGTAATTGTTCTACAGGCATGCCAATAATACACGCATCACCGTGTGTGTGTGTGTGTGTGTGTGTGTGTGTGTGTGTGTGTGTGTGTGTGTGTGTGTGTGTGTGTGTGTGTGTGTGTGTGTGTGTGTGTGTGTGTGTGTGTGTGTGTGTGTGTGTGTGTGTGTGTGTGTGTGTGTGTGTGTGTGTGTGTATCATTACTTCCTGGTACAATTTGAAAAATAGAAATTACATCATCAAAACATTCTCATCAACCAGTTAATAAATAGACAGTGCAACTACTCACAGGCGTGTGTGACAGAGAAGCTGTTGGAGGACTCCAGGTTGTCAACATTGTAAATGAGGTTGAAGGGTTTCTCCGTCGCATTTTGGTTGGTGTTATACAGCTGGACAGCGAACCTGAAGGCGCTGTGCTCCTGCACTGTGGAGCGCATGAACAGTCCACCTATACAGGAAAGAACATGTCACACAGAACAGCTCTTATTCATTCCCAAAACATACTTTTTACTCATGACCAGGCTTATTTATAGTGCCGCACAATTACGCGGTCAAAGGCAGATGAATGATGGGTTACATTTAAGAAAAGAAGGCAAGAAATGGTGTGACCACTCACTAAAAAATGCACTGCAGATACTGAGACGATTTCACAATTTGGCTCAACTCTATTTTTACCAAAGCGCCTACAAACCGCGCAGTATCAAACAACCTTCCGCCTGAATGAGAAGTGCACTTGGTAATGGCTTACGCAAATAACAACTGTCCTCTTCAGACAAAGACGGTACTCAGGAGAATCCCATTGAACTTACCAATGCTGATTTGGTTCGGAAACCCTGCCAGCGAGTCCCCCCCAAAATACAAAAAGACAAGCAGTGTCGCTATGGTGCGATGCCACATTTTTCTCCGATAAGTGAAATGAACTCCTGGTACTGATGTGGCAGAAGGAGAGCAGGCAGCACCATGTACACGGGCTGGTACGCAAAGAAATCCACAAGATGCGGCGGACGGGTCTCTCTCTCACTCACCCACGTTGAATGTGTGCCAGCGCAACTGCAGCACCAGCCTATGCTGCTGCTGCTGCTGCTGCTGCTGCTGCTGGGAAAAAACCTATAAAGCCACTGTTTTATCTCAAAGATGGTGGTGGCGGAGGAGAGAAAAAAATTGGATCTTCTCACTGTGGATAAGGACAACTGAAATGGGCCAGAGAGAGAGAAAGATGGAGAGGGAGTGCGCGGGAGGGAAGGAGCGAGAGAGAAAGAGAGAAGAGGGAGGGAGGGGAAGAGAGAGGGGGGGGGGCGTTTATCAAACTTGGTCTGACGTTGAATTATAATAAGAGCAGCCTCCCGTCTTCCTCCTCACGTCACTGCAGAGTTGGTGCGCGAGGCGATGTAGCCTCTGCTGGGGTTTTGGTGTGCGTGGCGCAAAGGCAGAGCAGCACACACCAGCATCTTAGTATGGACCAATAGTAGACTGCTGACTTGGGAGTGTGCAATTAGTTTCTTTATGTCTATCCATCTAACTATCTATCTATTTGTTCTCCGATTAGTATTTTCTTCTTCCCTCTCATGCAGCAGTCCAACCACTAGTCTAATCTTAGGCTGTCCCCTGCAGGTGTTTGAGTGCAGAGTAACTGTGTATGTGGAAATTAATGCACTGGTTTATCACGGTTTAATCACTGGTTACCAAATGGCCTCACTAATGCTATTGATTTGAATACTAATTGACTTACTTTTTATCCAAGAACCATCATGCTGTAGGGTTTTCCTCAGTGGAAAACACTGATTTAAAAACAAACCCCAGTGGCACAAATCATTTTTATAATCATGTGTTCAGTTCATAATTGAGATTGTGATAGGGACAGGTGACCACCATATGCAACACAACACAGTTAATGTCACTGTTAAGAGCCTGTGAATTTCCCTGTTTCCATCTTTACTCACATTTCGTAAAGAAACTGCGCATTAGCCAACACCTCCAGCACCTCCAGCACCTCCATCACCTCCATCACCTCCATCACCTCACGTGGGGATTTCCAGGTAATGTGACCTTAAAACGTACTGATGCCAGACAAACTTGAGCTCTATGAAGAGGTAGATGCTATTCTTCTAAGGCAGTACAGCCTGGTTTGGTTCACAAATTCACAGTTTTTTTTAACCTCTTGGAATTTAGAGCACTGAAGCTGTATTTACTTCAGTCTGAATCAATAGCCTGTAATATGTGCTGCCTGTTGTAAAAAATATATAAAGCACCGCCAGAGTAAGTTCACAGCAGTTCTTCAGTCTTTGACATTTCATTATGCTTTTTATTATACTTTAGGACACAATTTAAATCACTTTCTGGGCTCCGTGCTGCAGAGTAATGTGATATGAATAAAGTTATTGAACTACAATTCTTAAAAGACGACCACTGTTGAAGTGTGTTCTTTTTCATCATTCATCCCTTTGAAGACTTTGAAGTTAAATCGCTTTACTCACTTTAGTATCACTGTGTGCGACTCTTCCATTAGATTAACTGAGCAATACATTATAAATTAGGCTCACTAAGTCTGATTCCTTGGAACAGGGGTTTGTTTGTGTATTATATATTTATATAAATACAAAATATGCAGTATGTGTGCCAGAGTTGTAGAAATCATTACAGCTTCCTCTTTGGAGTGCTGCAAAACCAGCACAGCAGAACAGCTACCGAGTCTGCTTATTGATCTGAATGTGATTTAATGGTTGGCATACAACTCTAATCTTTCACAGTAGAACAACTGCACTGTAATTAAGTTCAATTTCAGAAACCAAAACGATGTCTGGATGGTATGACCTTTTTCGCAGACTATGAGTATGTCGTGTGTAGATATGAGATCCCTGCCACATGAAGAATGATCCAATTAGTTTTGGTTCACTTGAACATAAACTATCATTGTTTAAATGAAATTCTTGTAATTCGCTAGAGGTGTTGGTTTATAAACGACTGGTAAATAAAAAGTATAGCAGAAAGTACAGACTGTAATAAACTTAAGTATAATGAAAAAAAGTTATTAATGTTTTCTTTTAGCCTTCCTCTTGGCACTACAACTTGCCAAGATAATATAAAAGTGTTAGATTGTTGCAAACCGACTGTAGATATAGTAACCATCACAACACCGACTCGGATTTACCGTTTTGAGCATCATGACCTAGTTTTTTTCTAAACAGAAAGAGGTTTAAGTACTATCGAACACAAACAAAAAATGTTTAGGCAACCAAATTGTTTAACTAGACTAAAATGTGCAAGCGTTGTGTCTATCACAATGTAGCCATGTCCTATATTATACCTTGCTTTACCGCCTATAATAAGGCCATTATTAACAATCGAACATAATGCTGTATTTAAGAAAAATTGACACTGTCAATTGAGACCATAAGCTTGTCAGGAAATCGTTTACAAACGTGATAAATCAAGTGAGAGGAAGGGTACATTTTCAATTTTTTTATACAATCTAAATGCTTTTCGCAACCAATGGAGTTGCCCAGATTGACCAACTGAAAAAGTGCAGGTTTAAGGCACTTCCACTTTGCCTTCATTTTTCACACAAACAACGTGCGTAATAGTGTTCCCCAACTATTATCTTCCAAACTCTAATGTGACCACCAAATGAATAAAACCCTGATACAGAGACATCACTTTCCTCTGCACATAGCAAACATCATGCATATGAACCATGGTGCTATCATGAAACTATATAACCATTACCCCAAACATAATTACAATTCCGCCCTCTTTCTGACCCTGTCTCCCTACTCTGATCCTCTTTATACAGTCCCTAACCTGTATGAAATGAGTTGATTTCTCATCATGGCATAATGAAGAGGGAGACTTTGTAATAAACGTATTCCCAAACGCATTAAAAATAAGGATGATACATTTGTCGGTTTTATTATACCTTCCTCTCTGCCTGTTAATAAGTTGGTTTGATGGTAAGGTTTTTACCAGTGTGACTTTGTTGCATGTGATACTCTGTGATCAATAGAAGAAAGTGTCTTCTGGATAACGCAGCATCCCTCAGTGAGACCCAGCTAAATATCTGACAGCATTTCAATAAATGTTAGAAGTCTTTGGGAGAATCTACGTTATCATCCATCCATCGCCTCCTGAGAACACCTTGGGCCTGCTTCCCACTTTCCAAAATTGCAAATGAGGTCTGCTCGAGGAGTCTCTCACTCTCTGTCTAACACAACCTCCTTAGCACCATTCAATCGACTGTAAATGTCAGCTGGTCTTTCAAGGACTTCCTACGGAGTTCAAGTAAAAATGGAATTTATGAGGTGTTGACCATATGATGGGTGCAATTAACAGCACGGTTTTATTCTAAAACAATGATAAAACTCAACCCCCGCACTGATTTAGGTTAGAGTAAAAAATAATGTGACACGCGAATCCAACCACAGACATGACAGAACAAAACCTGTCCAATCACTTCAATACCGATCTATCAGAGTCTGTGAACCAAACCTTGTTTCATATATAGCGAGTGCTTGTAATAACCCACAGAACTATGCACACAAGTTGTGAGCCTGAGGCAGCAGAGTGGCCTAAATACAGACAGTGTTACACATAGCTTTGTTAACAGAGAGCATGCAGTTACAATCAGACACATCAGACATCCACAGCAATTAAATCATCAAAAAGGGGACAGATTTCAACTCAGCTGTCAGCATTCTTTAGAAAAAAGTGTGAAAAATCTTGTCAAACACATGCTAAGATATAAATGTAAATCCAACAGGCTCCCACATTTGCACTATGTAAGTTTGTACTTTACTAAATGTAATTAAAAGTAATAGTTTTGTAAGTGTATCATAAAGAGGAAGCACTATGCTTTCTTTGTTTGTATTTTTTACTCATTTGGTTAAACACTTTGTTAATTCCTATTATAAATGCCTTAGGGATTAGAACTCTCCTTTGTGTATTTAGTAAAGGTCTCTGTTTTAGCATCTTTACTCATAACTGCACCCTGTGAAATCGGAAGTGAAACACATTAAAGATGACATTAGGGCCAGAGCCTGCTGGGAGAATTACAAAGAGCACAGCAGAAGTGATTCCATGCATGCGCAGCCTCATGTTTACTTGGCGAGATAACGTAAATGATCGGTCACAGTGGATAATTGAAGATGAGGGATCCAGTTGTAAACAATGTCTTCAAAACTAAACAGTGAACTGTGTAAGTAGAGCCATTATTTATTCGAAGTCGGGGTTCAATAGGTATCAAACACAATCTGATAAAGTGTGATAAGAACGCGTTGCTGTCCCGGAGGCTCAGCAGATTAGACGGCAGAATAATTAGCTGTAATATAAATTATTTCACTCAGCCAACACCATACACACATAGATGACCTGTGTGCAGTGGATTAACTATCCATAATACATTAACCAACACCAACCCCACAGGATGCAGCATGCCTGCCTGGAAAAAGTGGCTCTGGTATTATGTTTTTAACTTGACAAATACAATTGTTGAAATTATATTGCATTTGGTGTTATGGTGCCCAAGGTCAAGGCAAGTAAGTAGCCTAAAGCTTCCCAGAAAGGTCAGGAGATAAAAAGAGCGTGCAGAGTGCTATAAAACGCCATGATAAACCTTTCATGTTTCATTCTCTAAGGCTTCTTATAAATTGCCCGTATTTATGGCTCAACAGAGGTTCAACTACAGTGAGAGCTCCTAGCCTCTCAACATGCCACTTCTTACATTACAGGCTGTCATTTTATTGCTCTTTACTTGGAGATTGTCCGTCTGATACTCCCCTTTCAAATCTTATGTTGTACTTCTCATCATTAGAGGCCATTAAATAGAGGTTCCAGTCCTACACAAATGCGTTTGTGAGCAGAAACAAACGCCAAGTAAGTGAAGAGCAGACAAACCAGATAATGATAATTTATGTACAGAAGCAGTGAGTTCAACAGTATATGAAAGTGTTAGTGTTGAGTGCTTAACGCAGAAAGAAGCAAACATGCAGTATTTGGAACAGGAATGGATGTGTGTACTGTGGCACCGGTGTATCTGACAGCTCTGAGCCAATTCATAATTTCATTACAGCATGTTCACAGCAGTCTATGTCGCTGTGTTTGACTTAAAGGTGATAACTATGAACCTCAAGGAATGTGCAACTAGGAATATAATAAAAGTGCAAATTATGTAATATGTTTCTAATTTCAGTTCTCTAATACACTCAGTTCAACACTTCTTGAAATAGCAAGTAGACATCCATTCATTTATTGATTCGCT